GGGAGGCAGAGCCAGGCGGATCTCTGTGAGTTCGAGGCCAGCCTGGGCTACCAAGTGAACTCCAGGAAAGGCACAAAACTACGCAGAGAAACCCTGTCTCGGAAAACCAAAAAAAAAAAAAAAAAAAAAAAAAAAAAAAAGGAGGAAGCTGATATCTAAGAAACATTTCTAGTAAGAAAACACCACAGGGAAAACTGGAGGACTATCTTCAGAAAAAGGCAAATTTTGTTTGAACAAAAAGATACGGATATAAGAATCAGCCATAGACATCTTTCAAAAAGCTTAAAAGGATCAATATTCAAACTGCCAATTAAGCATTCTAGATGTCATCTCAGATTCTCAGGTTGGACTAATAGAAAGATCCTGTCTCAGAATAAGAGGCAGGAGGGAGACAAGACATTTTTTGTTGTTGTTGGTTTTTGTTTCGTTTTGTTTGTACTATCTAGTATTTTTCTAAAACATCTCAACCAACCTTAGTATTTTTTTTCACTATTTATGACTCAGGCTCTCATGCATTCCAGGCTGGCCTCCAGTTTGTATAGCCAAGAATGAGCTTGATCTGATTCTCCAGCTGCCTCTGCCTCCTAATTGCTTATGGCATTGTTTCCAGTGCTGAGGATGAAACCCAGCTCCCTGTGGTGCTAAGCAAGCAAGCACTCTACCAACTGAACCACCCCCCCACCCACCCCTCACCCCCCCACCCCGATCCTTAGCACTGTGGATGCCTTGAGTGTGAGAGATAATAGCTCACTGCTTTGTGGGAAGGAGGGTGTCCTTTGCATCCAAGTCCTCTGCTTCAGATAGGGCACTTCCCGTACTTGTGACAAACAAAAAACTTCTCCAGGCACTGTGAAATGCTCCTTAAAAGGCATCATTTTCCAGTTGGAAACACAGATTCTCAACTGCGGAAATAAATACCCATTTGAAAGAAGCTGAAGAGGTAACGGAGCCACCCACCCACTTCCCCCGAACTCTGCTGCGTTTCTGGAGTCTGCAGTAGAGCATCTGATGAGCAGCTCCAGGGCAAGGTGACATTCCTGCAAAGGAAAAGTGTGGGGGGGGGGGGGAGGGGGGGAGAATGAACAGGGTACAGTGAGACGCCAGGGAAAGCCAGACAGATTGGGCTTGAGTTTATAAAGGAAACAGCAGAACACCAGTTAGAGCATGGAGTAGAGCCCTCCTGCCTGGCCAGGCTGCAGAAGACAAATGGAAAGTCGTGAGAAGCTCCACCGTCAGTGCAAAATCAAACAAAAACAGATCATGGCTCTCACCTTAGTGGGAATGAGAGACGGTTTATTCCAGAAACAAACGTGAGTGTCTGTGGACCAGAGCTACAGATTTAGGTTATCCCAAGCCTCATGTCTGAATGTAGTAACAGTTTCATGAAAGGTTTGCAATAAAAGAACAGAGAAAGCTATCAGCAAGCCACTTTGCCAAAGCACTGGAGGGCTGCATCAGGTAGCTCAGTAACAGTGAGCCATGAAAACCTCTGTTACAGGTCCCAGACGCTAAGATTTTAGGAGTGGAAGCTAGCTGTCTGTACCTTCCAATAGGATTTACCAGTCACACGATGGTAGGCCTCACACGCAGAGATAGGCAATAAATAACATCTAGGCACTGTGCTCTGCACAGCTTCAGGGTCTGATCTAACTAGGTCAGCCAGGGGATGGAGAAGGGACAGACACAGATATACGGACACACAGACAGAAAAGCTGGGATCTCATGAGAAGCCTCAGTACCTGGAAGCTCAGCTTGTTTGTTATATGCAGAACAAGGAGGTAGGGTTAGCTAGTCTTGGTAGGAGCAGTTTCTATTGGGCAGCAGTCTTCAGGGTATAAACATCCACAGTGAGAAAGATATGGTAGACATTTTCAGCACACACTGTCAACATTCATACTCAGACCTAAGGAAAGTTTTTCTATCACTCTGGACCTCACCCAGGAAAGGCTTAGCCATTTCCTTGGGCCTGAGACATTGGTTTTGTTTGTTTGTTTGTTTTGAGACAGTTTCTCTGCGTAGCTTTGGAGCCTGTCCTAAACTTGCTCTGTAGACCAGGCTGGCCTCACACTCACAGAGATCCACCTGGCTCTGCCTCCTGAGTGCTGGGATTAAAGGTGTGCGCCACCGAAGCCCGGTGGCGACATTGGGGTTCTCACCGTGGCCATTACAATGTCAGCAGTACAAGTTTAGTCAGGACTTCATTTCCTCCTCACCTTTGGAGGGGGTGGGACTAAAATGGCGCAAGAGAATTTGACTCTGGACCTGCAACATTCCAACATTCCAAATCATTGAACTTCTGTCCATAGGCCTTCCAGAGTATTTAATGTGTGGGTGCGGCCCTCCTCTCCTCCGGTAACTTCAGCTCACAAACCACCGACATCTCAGCCAGCACTTTGAAGAAATGGTTTCAGGTGTGAAACCTGAGTCATGACAGGCAGATCCTAGAGACAGAGACGGTACCTACCCTTATGCTTCCCCACTCCCTCCCTGACTGCAGCAGGATGGAGGACCATGCTGAGAGAAGATTTTAGATACAGTCCTCCTGCTTAGCCAGTAGAAGGCCTGGCACTTTTACAGCTCTAAAACCCATACCATACTCCTTGTCGAGAAGCACTGGAGACACAGGAGGAGGGAGAGGACATAAACTCTAACCCACAGAACTGAATATAGTTTGTGGGAGAGTGTCGACCATGAGCTGTTCATGGCAGGGAGGCCCGCGGGCGTCCATCTGCCGTGGAGGAACAGTCTGAACTCGGGTAAAAGGTGGGAACTCGGGATGAGTACGTCTTCTCATTAGAAAACAAGTCTAGATTGTTTTACCCAGTAGCAGCTTCTAAAAGGGAAGTCAACAGGGGAGCTGGCGACAAGGGGACATCTCCAGATGTGGGCTGGAGAGGGTTCTCCTCAGCTGGATGGAAAAGCCTAGGAATTCAATCCAGCAGAGGAGACAGACTGAACACACAGGGCCAACAGCCCAGCGCATCACTGTCTACCTTCTTTGCATGCCAGAGGATAGCTGTGGCCATCCCACCTGAAGAATAAGTTACTGCGAACATCGCTGGGGAGCTGGGGGAATCCACACTGAGCCAGGAAGACATATTGGCTGGAGTCACATTATTTCTCATTTTGATGTTTTCTTTGTTGTTTGACTTGGTTTGGTTTTACGGTTGTTCTCGGCATTGATTTTCCCTCATTTCTCTTATTTGCACTGATTTGTTCTGGGAAACCTGAGTGTTCTGAGAGTGAGAGAATGAAGCCATGCTGGGTGTCTTGGGGTTTCTATTGCTGTGAAGGGACACCATGACCACAGCAACTCCTATAAAGGAAAACATTTAAATTGAGGTGGCTGTGGTGATATTTTATCTGTGTCCCCCAATAAAATTTATCTGAGGATCAGAGGGAAAAGCCAGCCATTATATTAGACATAGAGGTCAGGCAATGGTAGCACACGCCTTTAGTCCTATCACTCAGGAGGCAGGGATCGGTCTGGATCTCTGTGAGTTCAAGGGCACACTGGGAATAAAGCCAGGCATGGTGGCACACGCCTTAAATTCCAACACTAGTTAACCATAGAGGTCTGGAGGTCTGTACAGACAGACAGGAAGTGACAGAGCTGGGCAGGAAGAGGAAGTGATGTAACTGGACGGAGAGAGCAAATGTGATAGCAGAACAGAAAGGCACATGGGTGTGGGTATACGGGAAGCAGGTTAGGTACCTTTGGAAGCTGCAGAGTTGGTGAGGTGAGGTTAGCTGTGGCTTTTCCTATTCCTCTGATATCTCAGGCTTTAACCCCAATTTCTGGCTCCAAATTTTTTATTTAATAAGACCCTTTAAGATTCGTGTTACAGGTGGCAGTTTACAGACTCAGAGAGGTTCAGTCCATTATCATCATGGTAGGGAGCATGGTGGCATGCAGGCAGACATGGTGCTGGTGGAGTAGCTGAGAGATCTACATCTTGCAGTCAACAGGAAGTCGACTGAGACACTGAGTGGTATCCTGAGCATAGGAAACCTCAAAATCCACCCCTACAGTGACACACTTCCTCCAACAAGGCCACACCCACTCCAACAAAGCCACACCTCCTAATAGTGTTGTTCCCTATGAGATTATAGGGGCCAATTACATTCAAACTACCACACTGGGCATTGTGGCCCATGCCTTTAATGCCAACACTTGGGAGGCAAAAACAGGCAGATCTCTGAGTTCGAGGCTGGCTCTACAAAGCAAGTTCCAGGATGCCAGAGCTACACAGAGAAACCTTGTCTCAAAAATCAAAACAAACAAGCAAGCAAAATAATAATGATGATAATAATAATAATAATGAAAAAGAAGGAGGAGGAGGAGAAAAGAAGAAGAAGAAGGAAGAAGAAGAAGAAGAAGAAGAAGAAGAAGAAGAAGAAGAAGAAGAAGAAGAAGAAGAAGAAGAAGAAGAAGGAGAAGAAGAAGAAGAAGGAAGCTGGATCTCTAATACAACCTGGGTAAAAACGACTCACAATGGATCAAAGACCTTAATGTAAGACCTGAAACTTTGAAAGTGTTAGAAAAAAATACTCTAAAGTGTAGGCATAGGCAAGGACTTCAGAATAGGAGTATAGTAGGTCAAGACATAACAGCAAGAATGGACAAAGGGATGGCATCAAACCCCAGCCCTTCTGCACTGCCAAGGGAGTAATTCTCAGAGTGAAAAAGACAGCCTCTGGCATGGGAGAATCAGCTCTGTCAGCTACTTACCTGACAAGGGATTGCTATCAAAAACACAAATAACCAAAATGTAAACACCAAGCAAACAAATTGTCTAATCAATGAATAGGCAAATGACTTGAACAGACCCTTCTCAAAAGAAGTACAAATAATAAATAAATACATCAAGAAAATGCTCTTAATATTGGGCAATTACAAATCAAAGTTATAGGAAGATCCTACCTCACTCCAGTAAGCATGGTTATCATTAAGCAAATGTCAAATATTGGTACCAAAAGTAGACTCAGACCTGTGAACCAGAGGGTCAGATTCAAGTTCTTGTCTGCTCCATCTTCAACCTAGGAGTGGATGTGGAGTACACTCATCCTCTTCTCCAGACTGTTCAGGTCTCTGAAACTACCCCCTCCTTCTAAAGTCCCAATAGCAAATCCTGGTATGAGTTCACCAAAGGTCATTCAGGGAACCCATGAGTCTATTAGAATTATTTACAAGAGTAATGGGTAAAGGGTTACATGCAGGAGCACAAACAGCTGTACAGCAGCCACACCGGAAAGTTTGTACCCAGCACAGATGATGACATCCTAATACCTTCCTGCATGGAACCTTCCCCATCTATATACTCTACCCCCTCCCTGAGGCTACATAAAATTAGATATAACTGGAGAGGAGGGGTGTATAGATACTTCAGTGAGGGTTCCATGACTCCCTCGGACACCTCCCTCCATGAAGGAACATCAACAGCCAGCAAGCCTAGCTGGGATAATCTTGTGTAAGTGGGGCACAGCTGGGAAGACAATCCTGTACAACAGGAGATAAGCACATTAATATTGACAGTTTACCTGGAAATACATGAAATAGTGGATTCACAAATGATAAAGACATAAGAATATATATATGTGAAAAAAACATATAATCAGTTAATAATACAAATTAGTTTTTCTCCAAATGTTTTTACATACTTCAACTTTGTTGTACAGGTAAATATTATCATGATAAAATGCTGGTAAAGATTAATCTTTGGTTCATATATTACTCTCACAGTTATTTGTGTTTTAATTTTATTTATAAAGTTTTACCTGGGGAAATTTCAGTTTTTATATTTAGACTTATTAGACTTTTTCCTTTTGATTTTTTTTATGTTGTGGAAAAGACTTTATTCACTAATCAGTCACTAACCTGTTTTACCCATTTTTATGGCATTATTTATGTATATTTCTTGATCCATTTGGAACTGATTTTGGATATGACTATAAGGATGGCTCTAAATTAATTTATTCAGGAACACTTCTCCAGTCATCTACCCAGACAGGTTAACATAACAAGGACATCTCAAAATACATCATGCATCTAACTCAAAAACAACATTCATTATGGAACTTTCTGGTTCTCTTCCACAAACCAGGAACTCAAGCCATTAAAGTCCATGTCTCATTTAGTATGTGCTTTGCAAGTTTTCTGGGGGAATTAACATAGCCATAAAGTTGCTAAGCATAGAGGCCATCCTACCAAAGATTTTCTTAGTATAACCCAGAAATGACACTCAGTGCTATGCTAAATGCTGCTGGTTTGAGCTCCAGGCAAAACTGAGAAGAGTTTTGTACCTGTGAAGGGTGAATCAAAAAACACAGGTGTTTCATAGTCAGCTTGACTGTACTTCTTTCACTGTTGATTGTTTTTATTGTTGCTGTGTGTTGCTGTTGCTGTTTTCTAAGTGATAAGTTCCTCTCAGGGAAGTAAATCTTTATTATGTATTTCCACAACTTATCTATAGAGAATTCCATATGAACACCAGTGAAATTAAGATGCATATTTTTCTCCAGCACCCTTGTTCTCTTCCAGTCAATATCTTCCTCATGAATAAACATCATTCTCAACTTCTACCATGTAGATTATTTTATCTGTTTGTTGGTTTTGCTTTGTTGCTGTGCAGAGTATTGAACCTATGACCCTGTGTATCTTTGATATAATTTTGAAATTCTACAAAATGTGCAAAATCTTGCTTCTGTCTTATATTTTTCTCATTCTTATGCAGCACATCTCTTTGAATGAAGGCATCACAGTGTACTTATTCTGTTTTTGATAAATGATTGGGTTATTTCCAATTTTGAGCTATTACAGAAAAAGCTGCTATGTCCACTCTGGCACATTTTTGGTGGCTCTGTCTCTATGTCCTCATTTTCATTAGTTATATCCCCAGATGGTAAGATCTAAGGAGAGTCTTGAGAGATGCAAAGAGAAACAATATAAACGTGCCATGTTGAAAAGCACAACCATGTGGCAGAGGGTAGATAAGAAATATAGGTTAATTTAAAATGTAAGAGTTCACTAGTAACCAGCCTGAGCTATTGGCCAAGCATTTATAATTAATAATAAGCCACTGAATGGTTATTTGAGAGTAGCTACCAAGACACAGAGAAACTCTGCCTACAAATGGCACCCAAAATGTCCAGCACCTACATCCATATAAGACTTGAGAAAGCTTAAAAAGTATTCTAAACACTCAAAAATGATGCCAAATGAGACTTCCTGGTCTTGTGTCTCTCATGCCGGGCACAGCCAGAGATGTGTCTCCTGGCAACTGCCAGCAGGACATGAGCTAAACCACATGGTGGGTTCCCACAATCTTATATATGGTAGTGATACAGAGGCATCTCCCAGCTGCTGCCTGCAGGCTTGAGTTGCTAGCACAAGCTCTACCAGCATGCTTCATGGTGGATTGAGGTTTTGCTCATGCACACAGAAAAGGTTACAGCTGCTCAGTAAAGACAGATCCAGACCCCCCCCAAAAAAAACCTCTAAATAAATAAATAACAGTTTGTTTAAAAAAATAGTATAGACAGTCATAAAAATATATATGTGTATATCTTTAAAATAATAGTAAAATCCTTAAAAAGGAAGTAAAATAATATAAAAGAAAAAAGCCACAGAAAGATGAAAAATACACAGAGAGTCTGGATCCTGTATGTTACTGTGTTGTCTTTAAATTTTTTTGGCTTCTAAGAGACACTGGATTATGAAAGTCGCTATATTAAACCAACATATATATTTTAAAAATATCTTGACTTCAAAATGGAAGTCAAAAGGTGTGTTGCTTTGGGAGAGAGGTTATGCTTTTATTCCACAGGAAATGAGAGGCTATGGATTCATTCCAGGTTAAAGGTGATCAGGTTTGATGGAGGAAACCCCCCTAAAAATCCTGACTACAAACATAAAAAAATAAAACTAGAAAAACTACAGAAATATATGATATATATTTTTACCTGCTCAAACATAAAAATTCATCTTTTTTAATAGACACACAGTCTATACTTGTACTAATGCAGATATGTGTGTTACCTTTAAAAGTTTATGTATTTTCCGAGCAAAGGGACCAGACACCAATGCAAACAAATAGCCCAGGTGATCCAGCCTCTAAGAATGCCTCTGTTGCAATTTCCTCAGAGTTCTGTACCAGAACAGCTTCAAGGCTGCTAGCTGAAGTGGTCCAGCCTCACAAACTACTCCAGCCAAGATATAACCATTATCCTGAACTTTTTCAGGATCCCTCAAAGATGCCAATGCTCCCAAACAACAGGAAATAGTCTAGAGAATGATACCCACATTCCCAAAAGATGTGTTATGGATGTTTATTATCATTTAAGGGGGTGTTGGTTACAAATTGTTATTGGTCTTAGTAAAAAAAGGGGGTGGGTGGGTACTAAACAAAAGAGTTAAATTCAAAAATCTCTTTTTAAAAGAAAAAAAGGGGTATATGATATAAGAATGATAGGGTAAAGGAAAAGGGTAGATTATTGAATCTATGTTAGTCCAAACAAACAACTATTAATTTTTCAAAATATTTTACATTGGTATAGATTTTGGTTTATTTATACAAATGTAAAGTTATTTTTATACTGTATGTATGTTTCTACTATTTTTTGGGGGTATTGTACTTATACAGCTCATTTAATAATATAATGTATAATTAAGAACAGATATATTTGGATAGATAGATAGATGGTCTTCAAACACTTCAAAGATCTACAGAATATGGCATTTAAAATGTTTTAGTAACACAAAGCTTTTCTTGACAGTGAGACGTCTGCTCCTGGCAGTACCAATTTATATCAGAGAAGATGATAGGCATTGAAGAACCTCCATATGGAGTCTGCTTTCTTTATGGCAAAATCTAGCCATTTGGGCAAGAAACTGCACTTGCCTCGACTGCTGACAATATGCTGACAATGTGGACCAGCAGGACACACAAAAAAGTGACTGACAAACTTTGCCAAGACAAGGTAGGACAGTCCTTCAAAATTCCCTGCTTCTTAGAAATGTCTGTCAGGTATACTAGGCCTGTAGGGCAAAATTGGATGCCCCAACATTACAGAAGAACTTTGAGTGACTGTCCAGGCAGGCAGATGTCTCTGTTGTTAGGTAACATTAAACCCTTCTGGGGTCTTTGATGGAGTTAAAGACTAAATAAGTAGACTTAAAGTTTGTAACTTTAATTCCTACTTGATAACTGTTTTTATTGTCACTTTAGGAATAAGACATTTAAAAATTTGTAATACTTAACCTGGATGCCAGGAACTAGTCTATACCCAACCCAAAACTCTTTCATGAGAGGTAGCCTGGAACTCACAATTACTGTGCAATGGGATATTATCTCATCATACCAGAGTCAGACAAGGTCACTCAAAGATCATAATAACATGAGAG